GTGTTTTCTTGAGGCGATCGAGTGGATAATTCCCGACAATCTTGCAAACTAACCCTGAACTGTCGCCAAAAAATAGTGGTGGTATCGGAATCTGAATCGGAATCGACAACGGATTAACAATGCGGGCACAAAGCAAACCATATTGTCGAAAATCACGAGTCAATAGGTCTGGCCTTCATAAATTGTTAGGCTCATTGCCAATCGCAAGTGAGCGATTTACAATTAACAAATACCCAGAGACTCGTTTATTTATAGATATGTTTATACATGGGCATCGCATCCGATGATGAAAAGATGCTTCATCTCCATATGCATATTCATTTTGCCCCTAATGAAACACTTGTGGCTATTCGATCCACACACGAATTCTGTTTTTTCGAAAACTGGAACATATTTTCGAACATTTAATGGCGTGTAAATTCGATTCCGATCAAGATCGAACAGCGATACTTTTACATAGTATGCGTAACATATTTATTTATGGAACTGGGTTGACCAGTTATGAGCTATTTTCGTATTTCTAAGACTAAAATAAGGCCATGAATGTACTTTGATACATATCGCATGGGTGTGCATATATTTTTAGACTACAAACATACATATTTACATCTGCTCGGATTTTGGTGTGCGTGTCGAAAGCTAATAAATTAATTGTTGCGTAAAATCGGATTACACATAGGTGGATAGGGGGTATGGGGTGGGTATAGTGGGGTAGGGCCCTAAAACCTTCGTGAGAAGTGGCCAGTTAAATATTTCGATTTTTCCCAAAACACTTGCATGCCGAGCACTTGAGGATGCAATAAAACTAAGTACTTAAAAACAAAGAGCCAAAAATCGGTATAATGGTATACAAGTTACTATAGGCTGTTACCAGCCCAGAAATGAGACATCGGCGTGGATATAGCCGAGAGTACACATACACACAGCCGTGGGCATTGCATGATAAATAATGATATATTCAGAAAGTGCTGTTTTTATTACGCAAACTGTATTTTCTTAGTTGTGCCGTGTGCATCCACAAATATAGACTACCTGTGTACAGAATCTTTCCAGTCTAGTCCGCGGCATTTCCGACGAATAGGAACTACTTCACACAGTACCTCCGAGGTATACATATATCCTAAGGACTACATATATACATATATATTATTCAATCGCGCCGATTTACAAGAACCACCGCTGCAGTTAGCTATAATCAAAGTTTTTTGCCCCCTTCGCAGACACACACACGCACACAGATCAAAATGCCTTTCGTTCCCGTTGAAACCCCCAAGTGCCCCGCGTGCGGAAAGTCGGTCTATGCCGCCGAGGAGCGCGTTGCCGGAGGCTACAAATTCCACAAGACCTGCTTCAAGTGCAGTAAGTATCCTTGGTCCTTCGAGCGGCAACTGTAGCACTTGGTCCTTCGAGGCGGATAGCTATAGCTTGAATTTTCTTCGTTTTCAGGCATGTGCAACAAGGCCCTGGACTCGACCAACTGCACGGAGCACGAGAAGGAGCTTTTCTGCAAAAACTGCCATGGTCGCAAATACGGTCCCAAGGGATACGGTTTCGGTGGTGGTGCCGGCTGCCTGTCCACAGACACTGGCGCCCACTTAAACAGAGAGTAAGGACTAAATTAAAAATATGTTTTGTATGAAAATTGTGTAAAATTCCTTGAATTAAATGTGTAGTTTTGCTTTCTATTAGAACCTGTATGTTTTAAATGTTCTCCCCTTACCAAGAGTACCCCAAAAACCAAAACCACACCCATTTATTTTGTCTGGCCAGGAATATCTAGTTTCTAATTCTCTGGAAAAATTCCGCTAACGATACCAAACATGCATATACGATTGTTTAATGTTATACAAACACATTGTGGTATTTGGTAAAAATCATTTTTGTATCTTTGTTTACAACGCCCACAGACTGTAAATTGTTAAAATAAAATGTACAATAAAACTAAGTATTTGTAAGATTATTCACGTGTTATTTATAGGATGTCTATTCGTGTTCTCTCTTGTCGCTGTCTATGTGGATCCGTTGAATTCCCCCATTTCGTTTTTTGTTGAGGCACAACGACCGACCTTTCCGCCTTGTGTTTTGTGTTCTGCTCTGTGTGACTAAGATGGTCCCCTAATGAATGTCCATTTAAAGCACTATAATTGAGGGAAGCATCTGAATCTTTTTAGATTCGTTGTGCCGAAGATTCCACCAAAAGCACCTGATGGGTTGGGCTGTCCTAGGTGTGGCATATATGTTTATGCAGCCGAGCAAATGTTGGCAAGAGGAAAGGTGAGCCCTACAAAGGGAGTGTAATATATCAAAATGATCTAGGTTCTTCCGCTGTTCGATTGGATAATGTTTTATATCATAGGGCTACCATCGAAGGTGCTTCAAGTGCGTGCAGTGCAACAAGACTCTAGACTCAACTCTTCACTGTGATGGTCCGGATAAGGACATTTACTGTAGAGGTATTTTTAGAATCTTAGAGTTTAGAGGGCATAGATCTTTAGGCCTTTTTGCATTACAGGATGTTATGCTCAGAAGTTTGGTGCTAGGGGCTACGGACACATTGGCATTTCGTCCTTGGGGTTGATGTCCGATATCAAAGATTGCGAATGGCAAAGGTGAGATAATACCCTTTATTTCAGTGAGGTATATTTCTTGAAAGATATTGATCTTATTAGCGATATGGCTCCCAAGGCCTCTGTCATAAATGTGGAGCAAATTCAGGCTCCTCTGGGCGAAGGATGTCCTCGATGTGGTGGCGTTGTCTTCGCCGCCGAGCAGGTCCTTTCGAAAGGTAGACCCTGGCACCGGAAGTGCTTCAAGTGCCGGGACTGCACCAAAACCCTGGACTCCATAATTGCGTGCGATGGTCCGGACAATGAGGTATACTGCAAAACTTGCTATGGCAAGAAGTGGGGACCCCATGGTTACGGATTCGCCTGTGGATCCAGTTTCCTGCAAACCGATGGCATTACGTAAGTTAATTCCTGGTAGATCTCCAAAAAAATTATTATGCGTTTAACACTTGAAAGCCTACCGAAAATATATAAGACACTAATTTAAACGATATTAATTAAATTTTAAATTATAATTTAAATATATTCAACATTTTTAAGCCCACCGCATGGATAAAAGACATGATTTTAAAACTCCTACATAGAATTACCTAAAAATATGTTAGGATTTTCTTTTACTTTTACACTAATATAATTAAATTGAAATTAAATCTAACAGTGAAGATAACTTGGGAGCCGAGCGACCATTTGTGGCTCCGGATACGACTTCCATCATGGCTCCGGATGGCGAGGGATGTCCTCGATGTGGTGGTGCTGTGTTCGCCGCGGAGTTGCAGTTGTCCAAGGGAAAGATGTGGCACAGGAAGTGCTTCAATTGTGCCCGGTGCACTCGACCTTTGGACTCCGTGCTCGCCTGTGACGGTCCGGATGACAACATCTACTGCAAACTCTGCTACGCGAAGTTATACGGCCCCAAGGGATTCGGATACGGACACACCCCTACTCTGGTGTCCACCAACTACGAGTACACGCCCAGCTGGTAAGCATTTAGTGTTGAATGTTATATATCTCAGGGAAAGTACACCTTTATAAGGTTGAGCAATTAAAGTTTCCCTTAAATATTAAAACTCTTAGTGCCGTTTTTTTGTACACATGTTAAACTACATATGTATATGCTTAAAGCCTAACAAACGTATTATGTACTTATACAATTGAAAAGTACCTTATTTTTACTTTAAGTATTCAGTGAGTTCATAACATATCTCATTACTTTAATATTTGTTTATTACTTAGAACACCATATAAATTAATACTCTTAATTATATTCTAACACATAATCGGATTGTTTGCAAAACAGTATTATTTTAACGCAACTCATATTATTACAACAAATTTCTGCCCCATTAACTCAAAGATCGGGCTTTTCTGAAGTAAATTATAGTTTTGTTGTTTTTGATAAATTACTCTTCTACTCCACGGAATTTTTTTAAAGATTTCAGAAGTACGAATTACATTTTATAACCATTAAATGCATTTAAATTGGTAAAAAATCTATCTATGTCTTCTCTCGCGATTCCTGCTTTCAGCTGGGGACTCATTGATCGCAACGGACAAAAGTCGGAGAACGGATGTCCCCGGTGTGGATTTATGGTTTTCGCAGCAGAGCAGATGAAGAGCAAAAACAATGTCTGGCACAAGCTGTGCTTCTACTGCATGGAGTGCCGAAAGTATCTGGATTCGACCAACTTGAACGACGGACCCGATGGCGGTATATACTGCCGATCGTGCTATGGCAAATTCTACGGACCGAAGGGCGTGGGTTACGGAATCGGAGCTGGCACACTGACAATGGCTTAAACTTTCGACCAAAAAAGCGCGTTCAAGGACTGCACCCCATTATGCAAAAGCTCCAAAATGCATCTTAGGGGTTTCCAGATCTTCAACGCCCACATTTTTGAGGCTGACGAATAGCAGTAGTATTGCAATTCCACATAAAACATTTACATATATTTAGCTCCAAAAGACAACGACATTTACTAATGAATATATAAAAGGCGATTAAGTTAGTGGCGATTAGTTTAACAGTTGTATATGTAAGTCTCGAAAATAAGTATCGAAAAAGCATTCTGAGCTTTGACTTAAAATCATGGCGTATATTGCGAAAACGAAATCTCCCAGATCGCTAGGGTTTTAAAACCTTTTAAAATTATGTCTATAAGTATGCAAAATATTTTTAGGGTTACAAATGCAACGTTTTGTTTCTCACTGCATACTTTTAGACACCTTTTGAAGTGATTTCAAAATCCTATAGATTTCTGCGGCACACCCCCTATATGTATGGCAGTCGTGGTAACAAACCAGTATCGTATAAGTTTCGAACGACTAATAAACGACAAACGGAGAACTTTGTATATGTTGGTTCTGTTGTTATTAAGTATTTATTAATATAAGTAACGGTAGGACAGATTACTGACAGAGGGTCTAAGCGGTATCTATTTGCAGGATCTCTTTATTCAAAATATATTAACGACAATGCTAAGGGTACATAATATTGGAACGGAAGCGGCGATCACTAAGGCACTACCCGAGAATGTGGAATTGCAACAATCGGCGGAGAAGACGAGAATCTTGGGATATAACACTTTCCAAAAGTTGATCCGCTGATTGTTTAGTAAATTGTCCGTGTTGAAGCTCTCATCGATAAGAAGCACTGAGTCATTGTTGGGGGTCATCGCGTTCCACTTCACATAAACATTAGACTTTGTGGGATTCGAGGTCTTGGCAAAGTTCGCCCACAAGGTCATGATTATGTCGGCAATTTTTTTGTCGGTTGACTTCCACTCGACAGAGTTGGTCATATAGGGATTGCCCCACACGAAAACCTGATCGAAATACTTCGGCACACTTATCCAACTGGGAAGATCTGGGAGCGACCTCGGTCGCATCTTGAACAGGTAACTATAGACTTCGCTGTCATTACTTATCAGATCGGCAAACGTTTGCATGGGCGTGATATAGAACTTTTCGGTGTGGGCACTTATAATGTGTTTGTTGGCTTTTCTCGCATCCGTATCTGATTCATTTGCGTACATAAAGTTAATGGCATCGGATATCAACTCGTAATTCGAGCACCACTCGTAGTTTCGAACAAGTTTGTGCATGTCGTTTACAGCGATGTCGGTGAAAAATCCCTCTAGATCCGTAGCACTTATTTCCGTATCGAGGTTGTCCTTGAACAAAGTCAGCACCTCCTCCATATCGGTCACTCCGATGATGACGGGCACCTTGTGATAGCTTCCTTTCTTGAACAGGATCTCTGGTTGATTCTCGATAAACGGATACGACGTGTTACTCAATCCAAAGTCCACAACAGGACCCCAACTCACCGAGGGCAAGTTCTCCGACAGCCTCTTGGCGTCGATTCTTTTCAGGCACTGAATAAACATCGAAGTTGGCTTTCTCGGGCAACCGAAAGTGCTTGAAACTTGGTCCAGAGATCCCTCATATTCGTAGGGCATTTTTACCGGACTCAGGGGGTTCCCCGACATTATGATGGCCTTGTGAAAACCACCCTTCGACCATTCACCCGAGGTCATGTGAAGGGCAACACTTACTGCTCCCGCATCATGTCCCATCAGGGTAATTCGATTGGAGTCCCCTCCAAAAAAGTTTATGTTCTTCTTGACCCAATAAAGTGCTGCCGACTGATCCATCAGTCCATAATTCCCCTGGGCCTCGCCGTCGTCGGTTGTGAAAAATCCAAAGATGTTCAGCCGATAAGAAAAGGTCACCACGATCACTTTCTGCTTAAACACCAATTGAAATGGCTCTACGTCCGCCGGACTTCCAGTGGAAAAATCGCCGGAATGGATCCACACAACAACTGCATATCCATTGATTTCGGGCAATCCTGAGTGAGAAAAATGTAAGGCAGAAAATTATAATACCTATTTATATTAATTATTAACTGGATCATTAAACAATTTTGAACTAACTTAAAGGTCTGCTCAGCCTCTGCCGGCACACGTACAGTCGTCACACACACCGTTAAGCTACATTCCGTGCAGACCTTTGCTCTTAAATTATTCATACTACATTTATAAAACCCTTATATTATAACCCGTGCAGACCTCTGCTATTAAATTATGCATACTACATTAATAAAACCCTAATAAAAACAAACTGAATTTATTAAAGTTGATCGACTTTTTTTGTTTAAAATAATCAAATCAATTCTCAGGGGCGGTCAATATGCATGTTTTTCGCTAATATCGTTTTTTCTTAAATTGTGGTAATTAATAACTTTTTTAAAAATGTAAGCAAATTATTTGTAAAATGTAATCAAAAAATATTTTTAAAAAAACTTTCTGTTTTGAATTTAGGAATACCATGCATAAGGGACGTATTCCCAAAATAAGCTATTATACCGTCTGCAGTCTTATCAAAAACAGGAAGTTTTTGTAAGATACGACTTCTGGGTTATAGCCTTGGCAAAGATCAGGAATAACCATAAAAAATGATAAAAAGATTCGCTTTTTTGTATTCTAAAGGGCTATTCAAATTGAACAATTGAACAAAAAGTAAACTGGTAAACATATCCACGTATAAAGTATCCTTACGACTAAGAGCATATTATATTGCTGCTTACATTGCCACGTAATATTTATAAGCAAAATAATAATAATGGCTGATATTAAAATAATAATGGCTTTATTTTTCTGCTTTAACGATAACATTTTAATTCAAAGATTTTATAGCTTTTAAGATTTCTCAATCCTTGACATAAATGTATGTATTCATTTTTTCAAATAAAGATATTTTTAAAGTCTCAATCATAAGTTCTTGTTTTTAAATAAAAAAAACTTACCATCAGGTACAAAAACGTTAAGATACAAGCAGTTTTCCTCAAACTTTCTGCCACCGTCCTCGGAATTCGAACCAGAGGCTATGATTTGTAGGATCTGTTCGGTTTCCTTGCTCATCGAAGGCATGGCATTCTGCCAGCAGTCCGGTTGGAATACCGTTGCGTTGAAAATCCCCTTCCACGGTGTTAGTTCGATATCCGGCGGTTGAAATCTCCTGGCGTGCGCGTAGCGAATGCCAAGATAGGCCTTAATATTTTGGGTACGGAACATTTTAAGATATGTTCCGGATATAACTCCGTTGCCCGGAATATGTATAAACGGGGCGTCCACACATTGCACAGGTATTAAACAATAATTACTGACTACGTGTAAAAACAATGCCAAATAGGCCAGGAAGTTCCTTTTGCAATCCATGATTCGTCCGATTCCTTCACATCTTTCTCTGTTTTGAACTTAGGCGACACTGTTCGCAATCTTACAAGGCACGCGAGGCTTCCGTTGCCATGGCGAAAATACACAAAAATATTGTTGCCTAGGATTTTGTAACTATGGCAGTCATCCATCTCCTTTCGCTGAGGTTGTTTTTATTTATTTAGCCTACGTCACCATCGGAATGCTGTTAACCCTATATGTCGTCATTTTTGGAAAAAAGAACTATGATTTAGAACTTCTTAAATTTTAAAACTAAATAACCTTTTTTAAAATTTATTTTAAGAAATATATTAAACCTAAATTGTTCTTGTTAAGGAATATTCTTGAACACCGATACTAATTTAAAATCTGGTGTAAAACGCGAATTCTTGAGCTTACAATTTTCAAGCTTAGTGATTATGGTAAAACAAAACTTTTTAAAAGTAGTAGTAGTAAACTATCATGTGTTCGCTTTAAATGTCAAGTTCTCTATATACAAATAAAACTTCTCGAAATTTTTAAAAATTGTTTTTAAGATCAAAAATGTCTCATGATCCGCAGAAGCCCGACAAACAGCCAAAAAAGGAGCCTCCAGTTTTGACTGCAGAAACCATCACCATGGATAAATGTATCGCCGACTTTTGCCTGAAGGGTGGAAGTGGTTTGATTATTGGCAGCGTTTTCACCTTGTTCTTCACGCGACCACAAACATATCCGATTTGGCTGGGGATGGGCTTTGGAATGGGTGTAGCCTACGACTGTTGCCAGGCCCGTTGGAATCAACAATAATATTCAAATGATCTAAGCTTTAATAAACGTAGGACTTGTTAAAAAACTTGTAAAAATCAATTCTGGAAACATTTGGGGACTTATCATTTCAGAATTGTTCCGCAAATAAATTTATCTTTGAAAAAATGATTTCAAAACTAATCGATTTCAACATTTCGATAAATAAAATTTCAAAAATGTCCTATTTTTTCTTTATTCAAATCGGTTATCAGGGCAATAAAATAATTAAACTTTTTAATTACTAATGTGTTTTTAGAAACATTTTTCTCAATCTCATTATTACTTTTTTGAACAAGTTACAAAAAACTTGAAGTACCTAAATAGAAAAACTTGATTAGTAGAAATTATAATGATTACTTAACCCTATAAGAAAAGGTATTATTTAAAAGGCACTACCGACATTGATTTTCTCAAAAATTAAGTGTTTTAAAATCTTTTTGCAAAGAAACCTCTCCGATTCGGCGAGAAATCAGTCTTTGGCCATTGAAAGCTTACATATTCCCACGGCGTATCGAAACGAAAAAAGCAAGAGTGGCAAACTGGTTTTGGGATCGGATCGAGTAACCCTACTCTTTGGCCAACCACAATTAACGATGTTGACGTTCTCTTCGGGGCTTTGCGCATGTGTGCAGTCAGTCCATGGTAACTTTGGATTCGGAGTCACTTCAGCTTTATGCTTCGCGGTGGCCATATCTTTCTGTTACAGTTTCATAATTGTCTCGGCCAGCAGAGGTTTTTAATGATTTCGCTCGGAATATGTTTTAACCAGATCAGTGCAGTGTCGTTGTCGCATCGAATTATCACGTAAATAAGTGTTTAAAAAATGCACTTTTAAGTGAATGTATATATGTACCTATGTGGCAAGTTAGTGGCGGACATAAGAAAATATGAGCTACCATTAAAAAAATACCCACAACCAAACAAAGTGTAAGTGAGTTATCCCGCGGAAGAAAAGAAACTGAATTTATTATCTTTTGTGTGGACGGGGACCTAAAAACGAAGCCTTTCTCTATTGAACGTTTCTCAATGACCTAATGTTGTTTTACTGTCTTTGTGTTTTTTAAGTGTGCGTGTGCATTAGTTACATACAGTGGGTGCGAAAATTACTCGTACTCCACTACTAGTTTCAATGTTTTTCAAAAGTGATCTGACCAGTTCTCTGGGAGCCAAAGCATTTTGCACATTGCCTTTGAAATACCAAATACCAAAGTGATCTACCGCCACATAAGATCGAGAGATTACATATATGTATCGTACAAAGCATATTTTATCATATTGGGCCACCCTACCCTGTTTTTACCCATTCAATGCCAAAAGATAGCGGTCGATGCTGAATAAACTTAACGATACACGAGTTGGCTGTCAGCAAATTGGCTCAAACAAAATTTTGTAACTAATGATCGATCACAATTGGACCCTACGAAACTCAAACAAAGTTAACCGTATTATACGAGTATGAGTATATAAAAAAACTTTACATAACAGACCTACTTGCATGAATAATTCCCTCAATGAACACAACACTCACTTTTTAAGCCCACATACTGGGCCAAAAGTAAGACAGCAAGTATCACGGCGGCCACTTAAAATGTTTATGGTCTTTTAATTAAACCCTACGCAATAAAATTTAATAAGCCGTAAGCGTGATACCTTAGATTTGACAACACTAATTTTACGTTTTTAGGCTATACATAAATCTAAAATAGTTTTATTTTTAGAGCGTTTAAATGTTTTAAATGATTTTCGGTGAAAGCTGCTAAATTGCTAACTAACTGTTTATAAATTTATCAATATCTATTTTTGTTTTGCATTTCAGATTTTATACCATTTTTCTAAGCTTTTCACCTGTACAGTTTTAAAAACATGTTGCGCTACCTGCTAATACTTTGCGCCCTAAGAAGCGGTAAGTTACACCTCTTCATTAAAAAGAATAATTAATACATTCCAATGTACTGCCCGTTTAATTTTCAAGGTAGTTCCCGGGACTCAAAACAATTGTTTTTAGCTCATTTATTATTTATGCCACTAATGAGTAATTACCTTTACCATTGAAAAACCCGGTTTATAAAGAATTTAAAAACATTTGTTTATATTTTATTAAGAAATGGTATTTTAACAATATAATCTTTCATTTTTGGCAGTCTTAATAAATTGGATATATATTTTTTTGAGTAATTACGCCTGCGAATCAGCAAAAGTTTTCAGAAAACCGGTTTTAAAGAAATCATTGCGTTTGCATTTTACCAGAGGGTAACGCCTTCTAATGCTCGTAACTTCTGAAAGAGCTTGAGTTTAACTTTGAAATGACGTACAGGCGTACGAAAAAGAATGGAAAAATGTGCTCTATTGTTATGCCCCTTATCTTTTTTATCTTACTAATAGTTTAATCTAATGCGTTTTTTTCTGCCTTGTGTAAGCACTGGGAATTCATAAGATAATAAACTGAACTAAAACCTTGAATTCGGATACATTTTCTCTAGCTACTTGCGGAGATACTGAGTTACTAACTCAAACTGTTTATGGATTTCTGGATTTTACAACCACTATTGGGAATACTGTTATGGTATTCTCACCTCAAAGCTCTCCAGCCTTTGGTAAGTTTAGTAATATTAATGAAATAGCAAAAGTATTGTTCTTACTTTAATATATTATATTAATATATGTAAATAATATGGTATTTTGTGTTTATATTATAGAAATAAAATCCAACCAGTCTCACGAGATAATTAATATTATTGAAACTAAACCGAAAGTAACTAAGAAAGAAAAAGAAAAGGTCGGAATTAAGCCAACACCTCTAATTGTGACTCACTCGAATGTTATTGCCGAAACTAAAGCATCCGAGATTGAATCCTACAATATAAGTCTCTCTAACTCGCCAATCCAAACTCTTTTAAATACCCCCGAATATGATTTACTATCTCGGCAACCTGAACAGTTTGCAGAAGAAACCTATCGCCTGGTAAACTTTAAATCGAAAAACGAAGCCGACCGCCAAAGGATATATCCGTCCAAAAAGGAACCTGCCCATGGGTATCAAACAAGATCAAATGAGTTTAAAAGCATTGTAACGGCGACCAAGGAATCCGCAAAGTTCTCAAAAGTCTCTCAGGTTCACGCTGTTTCGAGCGTTGAGAAAAAGAGCAAGCCCCGACAGACGCGTATAAACAAGCCAGTTGCGTCCTCAATTCAACCAAGTAGGACTCTAAAGGAGTCATCTCCTCAAACCCAGTTGTCCAGTAAGCCACCACGCAAAAGCCAGCAAAGTGGTCGTGATAATAGAGGATCATCAAGCTCCAGAAAGTCTTCTCGACCCAAGGGCAAAAGGTAATACTATTATGGTTTCTCAAGTACTAAAGTGACCAAAATAAATTAATGTGATCCTTAAATGATTTCATAACAATATTTGGTTGTTTTAAATACGTTTCTAAAATTATTGTATCAACAACTTAACAATAACAACAAAAATATTTGAATAGCCCCTGACATTTCCTGCAAACGCCAAAGTTACCCGTACCTATTCCTATTTATATATATTTGATCCTTCGCACCAACTTTTTTTTCAGGAGGAATAAGCACACCCAAAGTTCCAAGCTGTTAATAACTCCATCGGCAACTGAAACTACCTCTCGTCATTCATATCGGACGAAAGCAAATGCAATCGCTGTACAGGAAGAACCAGTATCGGTTGTGAGCCCCAACTCATTTAAGCTAAATAGACGTCCTGGAAGGTGGCAATACAAGTCCTCACCGAAGCCCAAAGTTAACATTAGAAAGAACGCTAACCCCAATCTTCCGACCACCATCCAAAACGATACAGCGCCAAATGATGTGACCCCAGTGGAAATCATTACCAATGAGGCTATAAATAATGGAAGAGATCTGGAGGCGTCAGGCTCCCAAAATGGCCCAGTTGCGAATAATAACAAAGATGATCCCAACTCGAAATACTTTGTACAAACATTGAACGTTGAAATATCAACACCACAACCTTTTATTGATACTTATTATGAAATTGCAACTATTAAAACTCCATTTATATTCCAGGTAATCATAGACATAGACCATAGCCATTTCTTGGTTGAGGATCCCATTCCTGTAAGCCCCAGTAATAAAATGCATTTACTTTCAGGCCGGAGTGGTTAAGAAAACGCGCTTCTTGACCGTCACATCAACCATAGAGAAAGTGATTCAAGAGGAACACACTAAGGAGTATTCTGAGGATGACGGTCCTTTAACAGAGAATATTTTAGAGGCTACTGCCAGCACTGATGACAAATCCATAGCGGGTAGTGTTACGACGTTGAAGCCCATTTATCTAGGAGACGAAACGGAGACCCCCAGCTTGGAGACAATAACGGAGTCCTTTTCCATAACTCATACCAAGTTGAAGACCCAGATCCTTCCTATTGTATTTGAAAAAAGGAACGAAACGATCCAAGTTACTCTGGTTCAGACATACGATTACACCAGTCTCATCACAGTAACTCAGACAATATCCCCATTGAGCGAAGACTTCAATCCATCGAAGAACTTTAAAGACTTTGAAGGAAGTTTGGACGAGGCAGGGTCGGAAATAAACTTGGACCTTGAGTTCGGAGATGAAGATAACACAGGCAAATTTGACGCAAAGATCAAACCGAAAAACAAAGTGGAGGTTAAGAGTAACATAACCAACCCATTTATACCCTTAATCCCAGAATCGATTAGCTTCCCCGAAACCCTGCAAAACAATTTGATAACTTCAACTCGTCCTGTTATAAAGCTTGAAACAATTTGGGAGTCACATGTGGTTCCCTTAGTTAGAGGAACGGAAACCATCATGAGAACTCTTTCAAAGTCCGTTGGCGTTGTTGAAAAAACCGAATACGTCACTGATGTTGCTACAATTTCCATGCCAACTCCGTCCTCCCAATATCCATTCTCAATTAACCCATTTAATCCTTTCAACCCGTTGCTGCCCATTCCTCCGCAACAGTTAATCACATCCACTGAAATTCAGCAATCCATGGTAACGGAAACGAGTTCCAAAGTTTTGAAACTGACTTTTGGCGCAAGAACCGCTTATACCACAATATTCTCCACTTCCGTCGTTCCAACAGCTGTTACCAGGCTAATAACAGCTACCATTCCCGGTCAACCGGGCCAATCTTTCCCTAACTATTATCCGCCACCATACAATCCCTTCGCCTATGTTGGTTAATATTTAAATCCATAAAACCCATTTCTTCTTGCTAATTAAAAATCCTGTATTATATTTAAGTTCATGTGCAAATATCGAAAGGCGGTGATACAAAAGCAATAGATTTTATTAGATTGTATATGCACTTTGTCGCAAAAGTTGTTAATGTAAATAATTTGATTAAGACTAAATTAAGATTGCTACGAATTTTTTGGATTATAAGATAAGCAAAAAATGGTTGTAGTTTGGTTTAACTGTTAATAAATTTTTGAACCTTTTTATTCCCTAAACCGATTTTCTCATGTGTTTTTTATTTAGTTACCGATTAAATAAAATCAGCTATATTACAGCTGTTTTTGTTTTGCACAGTAATGATTGATTTTGATTGCTTATAGTTTTGTATTTCATTCCATCGTTTCAATCGGGAGAGAATTCCAGTTGTTTCAGCTTCTCCCTATGCAATGCCAATATGAAAAGACAATAAAAACATTATCAAAATTAATTTAAATTTACTTTACAATTAATCTAATGTTTATTACATTAACTATTTTTAAATTTGAAGGACAAAACGCTTACGTTGCAATTACTAATCTCACTTCAACATCGATAACTGCGGAGCTATCGATAGATGCGTGTGTGACCGCATTACACATCTCTAGTCACATTTGCGGTACTAACACATCTCTAGACATTGGAAAAAAATAAAATTGTCGGAGTTTTTATGTGCTTGCAAAGTAGTGTAAGTAATGGCTATTTTTGAGCTTATTGCTTGCCGGTAGTAAACAACACTTGTGATTGGCGTTGTCTTGCAATTTTAAACACGTTTCGAATATGATTAAATCACTATCTAGCCATTATTGTGGGTGAAAAACTATGTGTACGTATGTATGTTTTCGCGTGTGTATTTTTATGCACATGCAATTTTATGCTAATAGCATTGTACATACATTTGTGAGTGCGAAAATAAAGATTTAGTCCGCTGGCATAAGTTCTTTGGCTTAATCAATTTTAAAGCCCTTTGCCCATACGTATATCTGCGGCTTTTTCCCGGACTACGTACAAACATACATACATACATATGTAAACCCTTATGTTGGCATAATTGTGCGTGGATCAAATAAAGTGAATGTGCAACTTGGCTTTCTATATTCGGACTATATTGGTAAAGGGCCAATAAGTTCCTATTAATACCCAAAATTTGGCTAGCATTTTACATATACATGTGTATTTATACATGCAGAAGCCGATTAACATTATTTTATTTAAGACCAATTTCTGAATTTTTTTGAGTTTACTACTCCTAAAACCATTTATTAATGATCCTTAATGATTAAGAGTGATTTTTTGTATTAAACAAATTGACAAAATGCATAGCATTTATTTTATTCGGGGCACGAAAGCATGTCAAGCAGGTTTTCAGAGATTGCAGCAACGCCGTCACACGTTTCCAGCTCTTTACTCAATCCCTCCGTTATGTAAACGGCTTTATCTGTTTGTTTATTAAGATATTTATGAAACATATTCTGAACTCCACCCATGCTGACTCTGATAACCGACACTACACTACCTTGGACACTATAAGATAATCAAGCTTAATCTCTTCATCGCAGATTCCAATTGTATTTAACCATGTCGGTACACTATAAATTTAAGAGTACCCTCAACTTCGATACAATTACGTTCGATGGACTTCACATTTCGGTCGGGGACTTGAAAAGGGAGATTGTGCAGCAGAAGCGATTGGGTAAAATAATTGACTTTGATCTTCAAATCACAAACGCGCAGAGCAAAGAAGGTTTGTCCAGACATACAAATAAAACAGTAAATCATAGGGAATATAATATTATTTTCATTTTCCAGAATACAAGGACGATGGAGTGCTTATCCCCAAAAACACCACGCTGATCATATCGCGCATTCCCATTGCCCATCCCACGAAGAAAGGCTGGGAGCCGCCAGCTGCGGAAAATGCTTTTTCGCCAGCGCCAACCAAGCAGGACAACTTTAACATGGACCTGTCGAAAATGCAAGGTACCGAGGAGGACAAAATCCAAGCGATGATGATGCAGAGCACTGTTGACTATGATCCCAAGACGTAAGGTCCCCGAAACAACCCAAAAAACAACTCAATATTTAATGTATACACTGCTTAGGTACCATCGCATTAAAGGCCAATCCCAAGTGGGCGAAGTTCCGGCATCGTATAGATGCAACAAGTGCAAGAAAAGCGGTCACTGGATCAAGAACTGCCCCTTTGTTACTGGAAAGGACCAGCAAGAGGTCAAAAGGAATACTGGAATTCCACGATCTTTCAGGGACAAACCGGATGCGGCAGAGAACGAATCATCTGATTTTGTGCTGCCTGCTGTCCAAAATCAGGAGATCCCCGAAGACCTGATATGCGGCATATGTCGTGATATATTCGTTGATGCCGTCATGATACCCTGCTGCGGTAGTTCATTTTGTGACGACTGTGTGCGCACTTCGTTATTGGAGTCCGAGGATAGTGAGTGCCCCGACTGCAAGGAGAAAAACTGCTCTCCTGGCTCCCTTATTCCTAACCGATTTTTAAGGAATTCGGTTAATGCCTTTAAAAACGAGACTGGCTATAACAAAAGCGCGGTTAAATCAGGTAAGATAGTCAAGTTTAGGCTGCACGGAAAAATCACTATTATCTTTCTTTTATCAGCCCCTGTAAAAAACGAGGAAAAGCCTCCTGTAGAAAAAGAAGAGGAGGAAAAGCCGGCTAAGGAAGAGGAAACCCTAGAGGCTGAGGTCAAAACTGATAAGCAGGATGAAACGGAAACTAATGGAAAAAAGCCACCGAAGTCCGAGTCCCCAGAACCTCCTTCAACTGCAGAGCCTTCACAAAAAGAGAAAGAGAAAGATAAATATGATTCTGACTATGAGGATAATATAACCATCAAAATGCCCAAACCTGCTGCTGAACCCGCATCAGTTCCGAGCAAGGTGAGACTTAACTTTTGTTCTTACAATACGGTTCACTTCATTAAATGAGTATCTTATGTTTTCAGAGATCTCCAACATATTCCCAAAGGTCCAGTGAGTCCTCTCACCGACGTGAAAGGTCGGACTATGTTTCGGATCACGATCACAAGCACCACCGTCCATCGAAATCGGAGTCTGGCAACAAAGATCGGAGTCTTCTGCCCACGCCTATTGGCACTGTACCCAGCTACCAAGGGCACATGATGAATGAAGCGGAAGACGCTCGACGATCGAGTGCCTATAAGCCCCAATACATGCCAATGCAACGTGGACCACCCCCCATGCACATGATGGGCCACCACATGCCAGCCTACAACAACGGATACAACAACATGGGACAGAGGCCTCCTCTAAGGTAGGTTTCATTTCCAACCAACTGGATCCCGCCGAGTATCTAAGCCACTGGAATTCCAAGACAAGACGAATCCATACGCAGCCGGTCCTGCCTGATCTCAATATTTCTAAGTTCCTACAGGTTATAAACACGTAGTTAAGAGTAATTTAAGCTTTGGGCTAACGAGCCTTTATGCTTTGTTGAATATTGGTTATTTTTTGGTATTTTTCATTAAACAGTATTGCTTAAAATCAACGTTAAGCTTTTTGAATTGTAATTAACTTCTGAAATTCCAGCTATGTACCGTATCAGAACCAATCCGTACACCCAATGCGTACACCTTACGGATCTGCAGGCGGAAATATGAATATGAATATGTCACAACCATTTCAGTCCCCAAATTTAGCCTCGATATATCAAGGGGTAGCAGCAAAGGTCGGTTCCGGGTGAGTGTCTTGTAGCCGTTGTACAAAACAATTGAGTAATAATATACAAAAACATTTTGCAGTCTAATTGACGATCCATTGGAAGCCTTTAACCGCATCATGAAGGAGAAGGAGCGCAAGAAGGTGGACCGATTTCGAAGTTCAGACCGCCACAGGTCGAGGTCTCCGGATAGGCAGAGGCACCGCTTCAAGTCTCCCATGTACGAGAAGGATTGCCCCAGGGACAGTCTGAAGGAAAAAAGGCCGCGATCCCGGGAAAGAAAGCGAGAACATAGCTATGAACGGCATATGCGTCACCCTCGTTCAAGTCGCCAGACCAACGATGGCTCCAAATCTCCAGGTGGTAGAATCAAGAGGTAGTTTTTCCAGTAATTTTCCCATTTAAAATTAAGTTATTTAAATAATTTTCCATTCTCTATCGTTGTACAGATCCGGACATCGTCGCTCTGCGTCACCTAAGCCGGCGTATAAGAGTGATTACAGGGACAAGTCGTATAACAAGCCCTTCACGCCAAAACCAGAGCAAGTTGAGCCTCCTCCGCCCGGGTTCGAGCCGTTGCAGCTGCAGGATGACGATGACTACAAGAGCAAGCATCTGGCCAGCTCAGAACAATCACATGGCAGCAGCAGCAAGGGTGGAAGCCACAAGAAGAGCGAGGAGGCCAGGCACGAGGAGGCGCCACGCAAGAGGCACAGGTCTCGCAGCAGGAGCAAGGAGCCGAAGCCGATCGACAGCAGCTACAGGAGCCTGACGCCGCCAGCGAAGATCACCACACCGAAAATGACCGCTGCTCAGTTGCGCGAACGCGAATGTTCACCAAAAACGCCGGAAAGAACCCACGATGAGTATTTGCCAGCGAAGGCTAGAGTTATTGCCTCCCAGCCCGCCATCGACGACTCGGAAGTGGGGCCCAATGTAGGAAAGGAGAACAAGGTTAAAAGTCCGTCGTCGAAGGAACGCAAGAAGAAGAAGAAGGACAAGGCTGAACGCAAGAAAAATAAGAAGGATAAGCGGGCTAAGAAGGAGAAAGGAGAGCGTCAGAAGAAGAGCTCCTCGTTAAATCGATCTGACTCGGATATTAACAACAGTTCAATCGTAAATGAGACAACTTTTAAGATCCTAACATCTCCCAGGGCCAGTCCCAACATTGAGATAGAAGCGGCTCTCCTTTCCCCCGCCCATAACGCCAGTGAAAATCTTAATCCCAAAAAGAGTCAAGCCTACCTAAACGTTGATGTCGCTAGCGATGATAATCTCGGCTCAAGAAGCAAACGTAGCGAGGCTAATTCTATTAATCTATCCAAGTGGGAACTGGAGGAGAATAACATAAGTTTGGAAGATTCCTCAAAGAAATCGGTTGCATCTTTAGATGACCAGTCTGAAATAACTTCAGATGTCCTGCGCAAAGCGGAGAATGCAATATTTGCCAAGGCTATAAACGCTATAAGACCCGTGGAATTTCAAGTTATTATCAACTCCAAGGACAATAGCAAGGACCGTTCTGTAATTAGAAATGACAAGGATCGCTCGCCTTCGCCCAGGCGTACCAGCAGTAAGTCGGTAAAGGAAAGGCTGGGCAATAAGGTTCCGCGAGACAGAAGCCGTTCGCCAGACAAGTCAAAGGGCAGGCAGAGGGAGGCGGTGAGGAAAAGCTCTGACGACGATGCGAACCGTGGTAGGTCGGATCGTCATGGCAGCAGGAAGAGGGAGAACAAATCCCGCGACAGGTCCGCGCCTTCCGAGAAAAGACAGGAGCGTTCGTATAAACGTAGTACTCCCGAGGACGACAAGTCAAGGCGTCAGTATAAGGAGCGTTCAGACCCCAAGCTCGCAAAGTATGATCAAATCAATAGCGACGACTCAGATCGAAGGGCGGCTAGAAACACAAAATCCAGCGACGGCCGAGTGGTATCCTCTGTTACAGCCGTGGCAGCTCCACCTAAGCCCTGTCGTCCAGACAATCCGTTCAGGAAATTCGTCGACAACAGTTCGTCGAGCAGCTTAGTTGTAAAATATGATAATACGATACAGATTGACGGCGCGTCCTCGGACAACAGCTTGGAGCACAGGAAGCCCAAGGATAAGAAACTGAAGAAGCATGCTAAGTATTCTTCGACCGAATCGTTGAGGAGTGAGAAACGTAAAGATCTAAAAAGCAAAAAGAAGAGCAAAGTTTTGAAAAAGAAGAAAAAATCAAAGAAGTAGGTTACGCTTAGGCTTTGAGATAAGAAATATATAAATATTGAAGATTTCTGTGTACAAATCAAAGATTTTTAATGTATGTATTTATCATGCAACTAAGTATACAAATAAAACAGAACTACTCAAGGAAATGTAAATCAGTTTGCCTATTTTTTCGGGTTTGAATTTATAATAAACAGACGAATCAAAACCCATTGGATTGATATTCGAGAAATTAAATATGTTTATTACAAACAGTTATCTTAAAAAATCGAGTAAATTACATGTGTAGAGATTTGACTGAAATTATTCGTTATTGCTTAAGCCGTCCATAAAGGACGATGCCATTGGACTGGGGGTTCTAGAGATTATATTATCGTTGCCATAGTCATCGGAGTTTCCATCCACTGAAAGCAAAACAAAACGAATTTAAATTAGACAAACTGGACACGTCCATGCTTTAAATGTAATGCTTGCCTTGTTCTAGAAAATTTGATTTTCTAGTTTGGGGTATCGAACTCAGCGAATGTATTATTGGACTGCAGGCTTGATCGGCTGTTTCGAGCGTTGTTGGTAAGTCTAAGAGTCGTTGATTTTGAATGCCATCCCCTGGCCCCATATGAGAAATGTGGTTGAAATTAGTCGGTGCTGATATCATCTTTGATCTACGATCACTACAAGAACATAATGGTATTATGAGTTGGTTGCGCTGATATGTTAACTGAATCCCAACCTTTTGATGGTCTTGTTTATCTCTCTAATGGAGAATCTCCGCTTTATGCTCGGAAGTCCTTTTCGATTTCCGTCACGATATTGCAAAAGGCCCTCTGAAAATAAAATATTAAATGGTTATCAATTATTCCCGCAAGTAACCTAAGTTACAACTTACTTGTGTGAATATTGGACAGGTAAACAATCAGTGGGGTGTCATTGACTGAGGACAACACAACATTTCCCAGGTTGTTTAAAGGAAGTGATTGCTTAAGACCAATTGATTGCACCCATTCAGCGGTCTGGGTATTGAAGATATCCAAATGTGTATCCGAAAACACCAGCAAATGGCCATCACAAAAGGCTATGAATAATACACAAAAGAATTGTACAGAATGAATCGATCCAAAGTTTTGTTTTGACTTACTTATATACGTAGGAAAGGCTGGATACATTATTTCCCTATCACGAGACTTCCTCCCTTGGAGGTCCACGTATATGGCCAGAGTTTGGAATACCAGTAGGTACTCCCCAAAGTTGCCACCGCTGGGGCACAGAATTTCAATAACCCTGACCGCATCAACTCCAGAATAATTTAAAAATGCACATAACTGGTTTTCCGGGTGTACCAAAGCTTTTGAAAAAGAGAAAGATATTGAAAATAAAAAAATATATAATAATATATCTTTACTTACACATAGCAGTGGCTTCTCCCCGCAGAAAGTAGGCGGTAAATCCACTTTGGTGAGCTACAACTAATCGCATATCGGACAGTATCTGCAGATGCTGCGCCATATAGCCGATAGTGAATTCGCAAGTCTTCTGATGTCTTGTGCGCGTTCTATTGATCTCGTAGACTACGATTTGTGTGTGATTATTGGGCCGCTTCAGCGCGATGATGAATGAATAGACGATGTTGGGGAAACGGCGTATAATTCCAGTGCAAGCAGATATGCAGTTCTTCGATTCGATCACTTTGATCCACTCGACATCACTAGCCTCTAATGCCCTAATAGGTAGTAAACGCAAATTGCGTTGCTTCCCGCAAAGAATAACGAGAATCTGCTCCTCTTCGATGTACCATAGCTGAAGAATCTTCTTGCTTTCTCCAATACGAGCGATTTCTGAAAGAAGGTAGTTGCCAATTGTTTTTAAGCTGTTCGTTTTGCTTGTTCATCACATCTGATTACTTACCGTACTGGTCTAAATTAATGTAGAACAAGCCGTCTTCGGTTCCCAACAAAATTTGATTTGGATATATGATGACAGAACACAATGCGTTTCTTATTAAAGACAAGGTATTGTCCAAAATCTCATTAACTTTAAATATAGCAGTATTTGGTAAGCTGTTTCGTTTTAATATTCGATGTAGTTCGCCCAGGGCAATGACCCACTTGGACTTTTCCGATTCGTTATCGGCTAGCATAAGCGTGTTTAACGACAGGCCGCCATCAATAAGGGCGGTTTTTATCTGAAAGGCAGAGCGGATTATATTTAGTGTCAGGTCAGGTCACGAGTACACATTGCTTACCTTGAAAATACATGGCACATCTTTCTTGGCGGCATGAATAACGTCGCTTTCCCGCACACTTCCGACTGAGAATTCCGGATCCCTCATATCCAGCACTTGAGACACACTCACGCTGGGCAATGCACATCGATCGGGCGAAATGTCGTAGAGGAACAACTTGAAGTCGCAAACGACAACAAACTGCCGAATCCATCCGCGCTTAATCACTCCCGATTTGGGAACCTTTACGTAACCCTCGTATGCCGTGCCAATTCCCCTGGTAGGATCAATTCCCAGCGGCCGCTTCGTCTGATCCATGGGCACGGGGCATGTAGTTGGAACCTTCTGGCAGCAGATCGTGTGACAAGCGAATCCGCAGATTTCACATACTACACCCTGCCGTGTAAGTCCCACCATCAGCGAAGTGCAATGATTGCATTTCGTGGGGCTACTGAAGGTGCGCACCAGGAACTGGTGAATCGCCGTGTTGCCGGGCACTTTCTTCTGAGATTCCTTGACCAGCAGGTCACTCTCCTCGCGGGACAAATCACTGACCGAGACTTCCTTCATGGCCGAGTGTTCCTTGCTGTTTTTACCCGAATACTTTGGCTCGTAGTTGAAGAGCATGCCCGAATTGCCGGACTGGAAGAAGTTGGGAGTGCCGATGAAATTGTCGCCGGATTCGTTGCCAAAGCTCTCGGCGGAATCAATAGTCTCGGAATTCTTTGACATGTCTCTGAAGAATGCGCTGCTCAGGCCATGATGGCTTGATTTATTAAGGAACGACTCTGAATACTCTAAGCCTCCCTTCTGCAAGTCCCGCAGCTCGGTTTCCTTCTTCTGAAAATCATGCAGGATGGAATCATAGCGTTTCTTGTAGTCCCGCACTTCTTTCTGTGTGGATATGAGGTCCGATCTGGTTTGACTAAGCTCATCCGAAATAATAGCCTTGGCCTGGATCTCTCTTTGCAGCGCACTCTGCAGATTAAGCAGCTCCATCTTGTCCAGCTTCTGGGAGCGGCGGTTCCGCCAGTTTTTATTGTCTACACCGTTGTTGTTGAAGGTTCCCACATGCTTCAGATACTCCAACTCCTCGGTCATTTTGGTGGCCAAAGCCTGTAAGTAACCACGCGCATCCTTTTCGTCGGACACCCATTGAATAATCTCTGCCATTTGACGTTCCCACAAAGTAATGGCCTCCCGTTTCATCCGCAGTTCCTTGAAAATCTCATCGTCCTCGGCTTGCAGTTCCTTCAGACTTTTCGACTTGAGATTCACCTCGGAGCTTAACCTCTGCTTCTCCTCGAACCACGAAGTCTTCTCCAAATCATGCTGCTTTTTCAATTCCAAGAGCGTTTCGGCCGAATCGGTAATCGATTCTAGTTGAGTGTACTTCAGCCTGTCCTGTGTTTGCTGCAACTCCTTGGTGAGCTCTAAGTTCGAGTTCTCCAACTCACTGAACTGCTCGCGCAGCGCTTCCAACTCCATATTATGACGCGTCTGCTGGTGACTTAGCTTTTCCGAGAACTGCAGCTCCAGTCTTTCGATCTCGTACGACGACATCTCCGAGGAAATGCTTAATGGCAGAGTTGTCTCCACACTCGAGGAGCCCTTTCGCAGCTCCATCTGCAACTGCCTGCAGCAATCCTCTGCATGCTCCCGCAGCTTCTTCTCTTTGGCAGCCTCGATGACGGCGTCCTCGATGTGCAGTTCCAGCTCCCGCCGCGTTTTGTCCGACTTGCGCAGCTCGTTTCGCAGGCTGTCGTTCTTCTGCATGGCTCCGTCGAGCTCCTCCTCCTTGTCCCTGACTTGTCGGGAGAGCTTCTGCTTTTGGTTACGCAGCTCCGAGAGTTTCTCTGTGACCTCCGAGTACTCCATCATGGCGATGTTTCGCTGAGAAATGGCGTCTTGGAGTTCCGCTTCTTGAGTTTTGAGCCGTTCGAAAATCTCATTGTGTTGCTTCGTTAATTCGATCTTTTCCTGCTTAAAAGCCGCTAGCTGGTCGTTCAGGGCTTTCAGCTGCTTCTCCTGAACGGAGTCCACCGACGCCTCTGAATTGTTACTTGGGAGAATGGCCTGCTGCGGACTGCTTATTGTATCCAAGGTATCATCTCCGAAGCCCGAGCTCTGATTCTTCTTCGCGTCAAAGATGGACCCGCTGCTCAGTGAGAAGGTAAACCCTATGAATGGTAAGTGGAATCCAGAGAAGGCGGGATTGGCAGACGGAGGAATGGAGTCCGTTAACCGCACGTCGTTGTCGTCCACATCAAAGTTGGAAGTGTCCGTGGGACTCGACACTTCCGGCACATATGGTGCAGGCCCCTGCCTTATGTTCTTCCAATCGATCCCCACAAACCAGGGGTGGTCCATGAAGTCTTGGATGCCCTTCTGGCCAAGTCTGTTCTCGGGTATACATATAAGTTTGCAGAGCAAGTCTTGCGATGTCTCCGATACCTTGTAATTGATGGTTTCTTGTGACGGTAAATTGAAGCAGTTCTGATGATTCATGATCTTCCCGTAGGTTTCCACCAAACTTTCTGCGTAGAAGGGCGTCTCACCGTATAGCATTTCGTACATGCACACACCCAGGGACCACCAATCGCACTCTGTTCCGTAGCGCCCCTTTCCGTCCTCCATGGCCCGCAATATTTCCGGGGAAATGTAGTCGGGCGTGCCCACAGCCACGTTGGACTGAACAGTGCCATCCTTATCCAGTCGCAGGCAGGATCCAAAGTCAGCCAGTCGCACATGACCGCGTTTATCGAGTAGGACATTATCCGGCTTAATATCCCTGTGAACGTACCTAATCTGGTGAATACTGTTGATGGCCAAAATCATCTCTGTGATGTAGAACTTGGCCATGTCCTCGGGCAACTTGTCTTCGAATTTACTTAGCAGCGTGAGCAGGTCTCCGCCGCAATAGTAGTCCATTACAAG